CTTTCGAAAGGTTTTCGGAATTTTCTCAAAATGATGCATTTTTTCGACGATTAATTGAATGAAATTGGAAGTTGGACTTCTTTCTCGATGAATCAACGTTGTATGTATAGTCGTCGGATGTGTGATTGTGTTCGAACACAGAAAATTCTGAAGAAGTCAATACGAAGTGATACAAGAAATACTGAATGATGGAAGAATAACGTAGTCTTCAGTAGATGAAACATAATTCTCTCTGTGTTACTAGTGAAATAATGGAGTGTTACTTCCTCATGAGGATGTCTAGTGTCTGACCTCGAAAAGGTTTTCTAATTTCTCGGATCGAAGGTCATATAATGAAGGCTCGAATGAAGGTACGCATTTTTAATCGAAATGATGAATTTTCGTTAAGATAAATATTAAAATTCAAAAAATTACGATTGTAGTTCCAGAAGTATGAAATTTATATTTATTCTTGACAATGGATATAAAATGTGCGATAAAAAATATGTCCAGATTGTCCCGGGATGAAGAAGAATATGTTTAAACGTGATGAAAATCACTCTGTTCCGAAAAAGAAACATAGTGTCGGTCATTGTCGTAAATTGTGGAATGTATAAATACAGTAACTTTTCATGAGATTTATACGAGGAAATATGAAAAAGTCTGCAGAATTGCCATCGATAAAATGTTTTTCATACTATTGAAGATAAATACAGTAAGTTCTCATGAGGCTTATACGAGGTAATATGAAAGAGACTTCACATATTAATGAAAGTCAATCCAATATACAATTAGAAGTTTTTCGACATGAGAATATCAAAATAGCAATCAATGATAGTATATGTTAGGCAAGCTATTTTTTTCAACAGAATTCGTTACATATATATATATATATATGTATAGCAGCTGGTGGGATAGATATAAATTCCTTATGAATCACCATGTGAAAAACATGATGCAGAAATGAATATTCAAGAGTTATTCTATCTCCATTCAACTTCAAACTGAATGACTATGAGGACATTGTCCTTCTGAAGGCCATCTTGTAGGTGCTAGATCAGTATTAGATGCGATGGTATAACAAGTATGCACGAATATATGGCAATTCTGAAGTCTCTTTTATATTACCTCGTATAAGGCTCATGAGGACTCACTGTATTTATCTTCATTAGTATGAAAAACATTTTATCGAATCTATGGCAATTCTGCAGTCTTTTTCATATTTCCTAGTATAATGCTCATGAAAAGTTACTGTATTTATACATTTCACAATTTTCGACAATGACCGACAATATATTTCTTTTTCGGAACATTTTATCACGTTTAAACATATTCTTCTTCATCCCGGGACAATCTGGACATATTTTTTATCGCATGTTGTATATCCATCGTCAAGAATAAATATAAATTTCATACTTCTGGAACTACCATCGTAATTTTTTTAATTTTATAATTTATCTTAACGAAAATGCATCATTTCGATTAAAAATGTAACACAGAGAAAATTATATTACATCTACTGAAGACTACGTTATTCTCCATTCCATAATTCAGTATTTCTTGTATCACTTCGTATAGACTTCTTCAGAATTTTCTGTGTTCGATCACAATCACATATCCGACGACTATACATACAACGTTGATTCTTCGAGAAAGAATTTCAACTTCCAATTCCATTCAATTAATCGTCGAAAAAATGCATCATTTTGAATGAATATTCATAACACGATTATCAAAGCTCTGAATTTGAAAATTCCGAAAACGTTTCGAAAGAAAGCATTAATCAAGAGGATACAGGTAAGAAAAAAAAATTAAAAAATTATCTGTTCAGACGGTAAGTTTCAATTATTATCACCCTTTAGCAATGTTATGTTATCTGAAATTACAGAAGTTTCATATGGCCACAACAAACTGTCAAGAGATTAGGCTAATATCATTGGTGAAAACCGATTTCAAATTGGTGAGGAAATTCGTGAGCTATTCTACTTTGAATTCAGTCTATATTTTGGACCACGACTTTATCAATGTTGACCAGTTTATTTGGTAGACAAACGAACAGTAGGTTAAAATCAACCAAACATCTTTGAAGGGTTTCTCCCATCGGTATTTGCAGGATTCATTGTGGCGTGGCTTTATATTATCTTGATATTATAGTTCCACATTATACCTATTCTGCAATGAAGTGATTTTGGTAAGTCGATAAGGTAATCAGTGTTTTCAATATCGTCGAGTTGTAAGTTGGTATTGATTCAACACACTGGTTGATATAATTATCAAACTAGAAATAAGGCTCATTTTCATATGCTCTTTTAGGTTGATTTAATACATAAATTTCTTTGAGTGTACCTACATAAATGGTTCTAAAATAAACTAAATGATCATCGTATATATTTGTTTCAGATAAAATTACTAGATGATATACCTACCTATAAAACATTGTGAGATAACTGGTCAATGTCAAATTTCTTATCAAGGTTGTCTAATCTGTCTAGTCCTAATACCTATTGTTTAATTACAAATAGGATATCAACACGAAAACCAAACTGCCATAATGAATAAATGTTGTTTTGCTATTCCTTCTGGAAGCGTGAAATAAACGCTAGACGACTCATTTCATTATATTCGGCAGCGCTTCTCTGAATTGAATTGAATTGAATGCACTCGAGGAAGTATTTAAGTATGACATTTGAAACAGAATAGATGAATAGCTATCTCAAACGATTATTATTAATGACTTTCAATCCCTAGAATCTCAATAGTTATTATTGATCATAAAACTTTAATTAAGGAACAAAAAATTCGAGATGAAAGTTCCTGTGACTGTGAAAACATTCTATTGCTCCTTTTTTTCATTCTAACTTTCTTGGTTCTTCTTCTCTTTCATAATTTTCTCTACCAAACTTAATTTTTTCTCCTTTTCTCATTCACAAATCTTCTCTCTTAAGTTTTCTTTCTTTCATAATCTAGGTTGATAATATTGCGTCCTTCTGTCATACACCAGTCCTGATTTATGATGTTTGTTACTTTATGTGTCAGCTTGACAGCTTGTCATGTCACGTGAATTTTTATCATTTCATTCTCTGAATCAATGACAGACAGACAGCATGAGACGATTAGAACATTTTGAAAAAACTCGGTTTTTCAATGTTCAACCTCATCAGGGCCAGATTTCTCTGGCTCTTCAGCCGCTTCAAACTTATTTCCACCTGACTTACCTTAATGGTCAAACCAATGATGTTTTAACTTCTCATGATTTATTGTGTCTTTATAAGGTTTGTTTTTCCTGTGACAAATATTATTCTATATTTATCATGTATTTTAGAGAAATCTTTGAAGTTAATCCTTTGATTATAATTTCCAGAAAAATCTTGCGAGCGACTAAGTTCGACTTACGATTGTGGGGGTTAGAAAAATATTGATAGTGATAACCTGGTAATATTTGCATAATTCGATTTGAGTTTTGGTGCTTTCTATGAAACCATGTTTGCTAATCGTGTTCCGTTAGCGACGGATTGATGAGTATGTTATTTGGTCATAAGAGTGATGAGGTTTCTCAGCCATGTCACGTTTTGACGAGGGGCAATCCACTCAAAGGATTGTACATATATTATCGGATATCATCGAATATATGAATACGAGAGTAAACATTTGCATCGCGAGGAAGATGATATTGGGCCTTCTAGAAAAGTTGATTTACACCTGATGGGCCTTCTGGCAAGGTGGGTTGACACCTAGGCCTAGTGGCGAAATGTGTTAACACCTAGGCCTGGTGACAAGGTGGGTTGACACCTAGGCCTGGAGGAAAGGTGGGTTGACACCTAGGCCTGGTGGCAATGTTCGTTGACACCTTGGCCTGATGCGAGGCCTGATGTCAAGGTGGGTTGATACCTAGGCCTCGCGGCAAGGTGGGTTGGCACCTAGGCCTGGTGGCAAGTTAAGTTTACATCTAGGCCTAGTGGTGAGGTGGCTTGACACCTAGGTCTTGTGGCAAGGTGAGTTGACACGTAGGCCTTGTGGCAAGGTCGGTTGACACCCAGGCATTGTGGCAAGGCGGGTTGACACCTAGGCCTTGTGGCAAGGTGGATAGACACCAGGCCATGTGGCAAGGTGGATAGACACCAGGCCTTCTGGCAAGATCGATTATCAATTGAGCTTTCTGGCGAGATTGAGCGAGCTCTGAAGGACATGAACATCAGTGAGGATGAAACCAAGCTTGTTGAGCCTTGTTGGAGCGCTCCCGTTCCAATTTCAGGATGGCCGTGTTGGGGTCTAGCAATTATAGATACGCTACTGCTCGCAATGGTTCATTAGTGTTCGACGAGTAGTCGAACTTCGAACAAGCATAAGTCCATCTTATATTTTGTGGCAGTGTTCGTGTTAATTGCATTGTGTTCATAATCTAACAGGCGTTGTTAAAAGACCTTATCGCGGCATTCAGCTTCAGCATATTGTGTTTCTTCTTATTGGTTAAAAAATATAGAGGTGAGCCTCTTCCATGTGAATAGAGGACTAGATAACCCTGTTCATGTAGTTATGACTTACAGTCCCTATACATCAGCTTCATCAATGTATTATCAAATACGTTCATAGTCCGCATCATAACAGAATTCTGCTACACCACTCACATTAACCAACACGACACAGCCCTATCGATTCGGACGACAACACACATGCCTCACGATGTTCACAAATGTTTTAAGAAAGCGATTTTAATAATTACAGAATGGGGAGAATCCTGTTGTTATTATAAATCGATCAAGAATAGAAGAATTCTTTATAGTGGTGATTACAATTACAGCTGGTAGATATTTTAAATACATATTTTCTCTCAGTGCACTCAGATAGTACCTACCTGAATTATAAACATGATTTCAGAATTGTAAGGCATTTATATCTTTACAATCCCAATGACTGGTGCCTTAGGAACTCCTTGTGACTTACATATTATTTAATCGAACAATAGGTGCATATTATCACATTGATATTCCACTCGATATTCCATGTCCATTTCTCTCTTTCAGGTGAACGCGAAATACAACGAAGACTTGGCTAGAGAATGCCTGGAATGGATTGTGGCGATCACCGACGAACCAATAAATGTCGCTGGCGACATGGACAACTTCTACGAGGTTCTCAAAGACGGAACGTTACTCTGCAGGTGAGAACTCGTCCAAACCGTACCTTTATGTTAGTGAATATTTTATAGAGCGGCTATACATATACAGGGTGTTTCATAATTGAATGTCAATATTTGGGGAGGCAATTCTTGGGCCTATTCTAAGAAAAGAATATTATATGAACGTATGACCTGAACGTCCCAACTTTTGAGATAGAGGGTGGTAAAGTTCTCAAAAATTAATAGTTTTTTATTAGTATCTGTAATACCACTTCAGATATTCTAATAAAATTTGGCATACATGTACTATGTATTAAGAGGCATCAGTAAGTGTAACACATTTTTTTTGGTTGCCACCAGTGGCGTTCGTATGTAATTTCACATGCCAATTTTGGCAGTCATTGATGGTTCGCCACTGATTAATCTCAAAATTGAAATCATTCCTGAAATTCCCAATCATTTCTGAACAAATTTGATCATTACAATTTTTTCAATCTGATGCACGGCTTTCGTTAAAAAAAAATGCTATTCACTCCATGATTATAGCAACGAGATCTATGATATGACAATATCACAATGCAGAGATTTTTAGATAAAATTTCAGAAATACAATTCATAGTTTGTGAACTTCGTATTCGTATTTTGTATTTTGGAATTATAACTTCTCATTGTAGTAGACTATATCGAAACTTTCTTCTTAGAATGGGCACAAGAATCGCCTCCTCGAATGTTGACATCCAATTATGAAACACCCTGTATACTTAGCTATATTTCATTATACAAGGTGTCCCATAAGTGATGGATCAAAATAAGTGGGGTGGTAGGGGGAGGGTCATTTGTAATCAAACTAACGGTATATATGTTGTTATCAAATTGTTGATGGTTCAAATGATATTCAATTTTTCTGAAAAAAACGACCCATTCGAAAAAAATTAATAACAAGAAGGCTGTTTTGAATAACCCCATGTGTAATAGCATTTCGGAATCTGTATTAAATGGGCAACTTTTTCATATCATTGGATATATTTGTGCTGCAGAAAATCCAGAGACTCGCGTGTCTTGGGATCACAGGGGCTATGCGTACGTGCCCTACTGCAGCAATGGAAGCTATGCTCGACCTACTACCCTTGCATATTTTTATCAAGAGGACTGCAGCTCTCAGTGCATACAGACTGAACTCCACTGAATTGGCCAGACCAGGTGATGTCACTGGTCACATGGTCATTCTACAAGAAGTACAAATGGAATCTGCAACCAAACCATCGGACATAATGCCAGCCAGGCTCAGTTTCGATCATACCTTTGAAGTGGTTATAAAAAGCCGCCCTAGGTACGGTTCCGCTGAGCCTCAGCTGGACAGAGGTTCCCTTGTTTGGTACACCGATGGTTCAAAAATGGAAGAAGGGGTAGGCGCGGGTGTATATGGACCCGGATGTAGGCTATTTGAAGCCTTAGGTCACTCCCCCACTGTCTTTCAAGCTCAAATACATGCCATCAACCTTTGCGCCCAAAGGTGCCTGAGCATAGGTCTGAGGGGTGCCAACATATATATCTGCTCAGACAACCAAGCCGCACTAAAAGCCCTAAAATCATTCGTTTTCACATCAAAGATTACATATAGGACTGCTTTGAAACACTCATGCAACTGGGAAAGGGCAACAAAGTCACACTTATGTGGGTTCCAGGGCATGAAGGAATCAAAGGAAATGAGGCAACAACAACAATTTACAATTTAAGAAATCGATTTTTATAATTACAGAATGGAGAGAATACTGTTGTAATAATAAAATGATCAGGAATAGGAGATTTCCTTATAATGGTTATTACAATCAGAGCTGGTAGATATTTTTAATATCCAGTTTCTCTCAGTGTAGGACTCTCGGTAGGACTGCTTTGAAACACTCATGCAACTGGGAAAGGGCAACAAAGTCACACTTATGTGGGTTCTAGGGCATGAAGGAATCAAAGGAAATGAGGCAGCTGATCGCCTTGCAAAAAAAGGTGCAGCATCTGCACTTTTTGGTCCTGAGCCTTTTTGTGGGATAAGCGAATGTCACCTAAAGGGAGAACTCGGGAAATGGGAAGAAATTGAAAAGGCCTCCTACTGGAGAGCAACTCCAGGTCAACGACAAGCGAAAAGGTTCATCAACCATTCGCAGAACCGAGCCAAAGAGCTACTCAGCCTCAGCAAACCAGAGCTAAAGCTTATCACAGGCTTTCTCACAGGACACGGCCCTCTGAGGTACCACCTCAAAAAGATGGGTCTGGCGGAGACTGACACTTGCCGCTTTTGTAACAATGCGACCGAAACCGCGGAACACATACTTTGCTCATGTGGAGTATTAGTCCGCCAAAGGCTGAATCACCTAGAACAGGTCTATCTCACCCCTGCTGAAGTGGAAAAGTCAACCGTCAGGGAAATCGTAGGCTTCATCAGAAGTCTAGGGTAAGAGGACCAAAACTAGATAGGGGTAATCACAATAGATCTTCTAGGTCGCAGTGATCGAGAGGTCTCTCAGCCTATACGACCCATCTACAATCTACAATCTACAAATTTAAAAATCGACCTAAATATTTCTTTCGATGACAAAATTCAAGGGAAACAACATTTTTCTCAGGTACCTAATTGATAAGAAGTACATACCATAAAATTATATCTGGTGAAAGGTGCATCCGCATGTGGATGAAATTTGTAAAAGAAAAAATCAAAAATGTTTCATAATTTTATTGTCATTAATTCTTTTTATAGAAATGAAAAATCATTGATAAATTTTAAACCATCAACAATTTGATAACCACATATACGCGGTTAGTTTGATTCGAAATGAATCCCCCTCCCACCCCACTTCCTTTGATCCTCGACTTATGGGACACCCTGTATATCTCTAATAGACTAGAAGCCCTGGCTTCTTTTGGAAGGGGTCATGTGACTCAGCATGAATATTCGGAATTATAAAGGCACTTTGCCGTCAGTTGGGAGCGGTGCATCTAAGTACAGAGTTGAATGAAACGTTCCATCGAGAGAGAACTATTTCGACAAAATATTACTGCCCTACGGCATTTCTAAAGCTGATAAGTTTGAAAAAAATAATCAAGTAAGACCTATAATGCCGTACAAAGATATTGGTAAATACTGAAAGCCAGTGTTTTTTGTTTCATTTTTCAAGTTACTGATGTTCCATCCTCCGAATAATAAACCCCATATCAATGGTATTGTGATTTTGAAACATACTTTCGAATTGCTAATAATATAATTCCATGAATGCCTTACAATTACCAATGACTTCAAAATTCCGTATAAAAACATGATGCACAATATTATCAGAAATCCTCAAATTAAAAATGTACGGCATATATTTTCCTTTGTTCCGATATACTTGGTAATAAGTAATAGAGTAAGGGGTAATAAAGAAAGCAATAACAATCTGAAAATTATTCCTCTAATAAATCACAATACAATTTAAGAATCTTTTGAATTTTGATTATTTTCATTTCGGTTGCCATACAGGAATTTATAATCATTCTATAGAAAATATAAGATTCAACTCAAATAAATGCATGTAATTTTTCATTTATGTTACATGAACCATGATTTTTTAGACGGCATAATTTCTCAAGAATATTTCTGAGTTGGAATATGATGCCGTACATTTTTCAATGACCTCGAACCATACATCTCTCCTAATGAGAAGTTTGCGTGCGGTGCTTCTCAGCCCTATACTTGATCATTTTTCAATAATCTTATCAACCTTAGAAATGCCGTACAGGAATATTTTGTCGAAATAGACCTCTCTCTGCATCTGCGAGATAAACACGGAAGCGGACACGATGGACACGATGGCGGTTATGAATACCATCTGGAAACACCCGTGTACTGATGATACCTCAAAGCACGAAACCGGTCTGTAGGTAGTCAAGCGTTCCTGAACAATTTAGGCACAACTCAGCATTTAGAAAAGAATCACTTGCAGCTGTATTCGTCTTTGCTAATTGTTGCATAGATATCGGGAGGATGTGATCCAATGTTCAAGCCAAAAAAGTAGTTGTTTTGAACCATTTTCGTTAATTTAATGAACTATTATTGTGGTGATGACTCTCCCTCTATTTGATCATCTAATTCCTTTTTGAGTATTTGTCTCTCTTCTAGTTGAGAAAACGCCAGTCGGGCAAAATGGAAATTTGTTTTGGAGTGTTTCTTTCATTCGGCTTTCCTTCTACTCAGGTAGCATTCTTGTCCATCTCGCAGATGCCGAACGCTTCATGCTGGGATGTGTTCACGTTGGGTCAGGTTCGCGGCAGATGGCGGTCATGAATGCCATCTGACCCCTGCACTGATGAAAGCCCAAAACTCGAAACCGGTCTGTAAGTGGTCAAGCGTTCCAGAACAATTCACAGCATTTAGGGAATAATCACTTTTGCAGCTGTATTCGTCTTCTATCGGAAGGATATAATGCAATGTTCTGCGTGGCATATAGCCAGGAAAGAAGTTGTTTTCCTCTCGTTTTCTATCATTTTCGTTTATTTTATGAAATATTGTGGTAAATACTTCGAGTTTCTCCTTGTTTGTGGCCATTTCATTCCACTCTGAGTATTCGGCTTCTTCCTACTTGAATTGAATACATTAAAAGATGCGTGAAAGGCGTATTTTAAAAGTACCTATAGGTATATGGTGAGCTCCAAAAGAAGGCGGCTAGATCTCTATGCCTCTTCGTTAAAAACACAATATAGTTGTGGATAAACACTTCATCTAAATGTAAATGCTCTATATCTATGAAGGCGTATTTTTGAAGTAGGTAGGTAGGTAGGTAGATCTAGCCCCCCAAAAGTGGGGGGCTAGATCCCTATGCCTATGCCTCTTCGTTAAGATAACAATATAGTTGTAGATAAACACCAACTGACTGTGAATGCTCACTATATCTTAATTAATCCGAAGATCTGCGTATAAATCGGTAGGTTTAACAACACCGCTGTCGTTGTGTATGTTCATCAGATGATATCAGCAGACTTCCTTTTTCTTTCGTGCGCCCATTTACAGATAAAAG